ATTTCATTTACGCACATATACGCACATCTTGCAGCCACGACCATGTGTGTACGCCAACACGTTTCGCATATCACTGCACACCTGTTATACGCGTTTACGCACATACAAAAGTTCCTACAGTCACGACCAATGTATTACACACCAATTTATACGCACATCCCTCTACATCCACTACGCAATGAAGCACATCCTCTATACCCACTACGCATTGAAGCACATCCTCTACACCTACTACACATTGAAGACATCCCTCTACATCCACTACGCAATGAAGCACATCCCTCTACACCCACTACGCATTGAAGCACATCCTCTCACCTACTACACATTGAAGCACATCCCTCCACACCCACTACGCATTGAAGCACATCCTCCACACCTACTACACATTGAAGCACATCCATGTACACCCACTACGCATTAGCACATCCATGTACACCCACTACGCATTGAAGCACATCCTCCACACCCACTACGCATTGAAGCACATCCCTCCACACCCTACACATTGAAGCACATCCTCCACACTTACTACACATTGAAGCACATCCCTACACCCACTACGCATTGAGCACATCCCTCCACACCTACTACACATTGAGCACATCCCTCCACACCTACTACACATTGAAGCACATCCTCCACACTTACTACACATTGAAGCACATCCCTCTACACCCACTACGCATTGAAGCACATCCTCCACACCTACTAACATTGAAGCACATCCCTCCACACCCACTACGCATTGAAGCACATCCCCTACACCAACTACACATAGCACATCCCTCCTCCACACCCACTACAGCATTACACATCCCTCTACACCCACTACACATTGAAGCACATCCCCACACCAACTACATATAGCACATCCTCCACACCCACTACACATTGAAGCACATCCCCTACACCGACTACACATATAGCACATCCCTCTACACCTACTACACATAAAGCACATCCTCTACACCCACTACGCATTGAAGCACATCCCTCTACACCGACTACACATATAGCACATCCCTCTACACCTACTACATTGAAGCACATCCCTCCACACCCACTACACATTGAAGCACATCCCTCTACACCAACTACGCATTGAAGCACATCCTCTACACCTATTACACATTGAAGCACATCCTCACACCCACTACGCATTGAAGCACATCCCTACACCCACTACACATTGAAGCACATCCTCTACACCAACTACACATAAAGCACATCCCTCTACACCCACTATGCATTGAAGCACATCCCTACACCAACTACACATAGACACATCCCTCCACACCCACTACACATAGCACATCCTCCTACACCCACTACGCATTGCACATCCTCCACACCCACTACGCATTGAAGCACATCCCCACACCACTACGTATTGAAGTGCATACACAGATCCTTAAGCCACGACACATGTACAAACACCTACACACCAGCGTATACCAACACATCTTCAAGTGGGTCTTGAACGTAAACACAGCTTAAAAGATCTGTTTATGAAGGCAATATTACACCAAAACAGCTGTCAACTGCACACTGAGGCGATAGGAGAGGAGGGCAGGGGGAAAAGGAGGTGGCAGGAGGAAAGGAGGTGGCAGGAGGAAGAGGAGGCAGGGGGGAGGGAGGGCAGGGGGGGAGGAGGCGGCAGGAGGAAAGGAGGTGGCAGAGGAAGAGGGAGGTGCAGGAGGAAGAGGGAGGCAGGGGAGGGGAGGTGGGAGGGGAGAGTGGCAGGGGGAGGGGAGGTGGCAGGGGGGAGAGGAGGGGTGGCAGGGGAGGAGGTGGCAGGGAGGAGGAGGCAGGGGGGGAGAGGAGGTGGGCAGGGGGAGGAGGAGGCAGGGGGGAGAGGAGGGGAGAGGAGGTGGCAGGAGGAAAGGAGGTGGGCAGGGGGGGAGAGGTGGCAGGGGAGAGGAGGTGGCAGGGAGGAGGAGGCAGGGGAGGAGGGAGGCAAGGGGAGGAGAGGTGAGGGGAGGAGGTGGCAGGGGGAGAGGAGGTGGCAGGGGGGAGGAGAGGAGGTGGCAGGGGAGGAGGTGGCAGGGGAGAGGAGGTGGCAGGGGGAGGAGGAGGCAGGGGGAGGAGGAGGCAGGGAGAGGAGGCAGGGGGGAGTGGCAGGGGAGAGGTGGGCAGGGAGAGAGAGGAGGTGGGCAGGAGGAAGAGGGAGGCAGGGGGAGAGGAGGCAGGGAGAGGGAGTGGCAGGGGAGGAGGAGGCAGGGGGAGAAGAGGCAGGGGGAGAGGAGGTGGCAGGGGAGAGGAGGCAGGGGGAGAGGAGGGGTGGCAGGGGGAGGGATGTGGTGGGAGGAGAGGCAGGGGAGAGGAGGTGGCAGGGGGAGGAGGTGGCAGGGGGGGAGAGGAGAGGCAGGGGGAGAGGAGGTGGCAGGGGGAGGAGGGAGGCAGGGGGGAGAAGAGGCAGGGGCGAGGAGGTGGCAGGGGGGAGGAGGTGGCAGGGGAGGGAGGGGCAGGGGAGAGGAGGTGGCAGGGGGGAGAGGGAGGCAGGGGAGGAGGGAGGTGGCAGGGGAGGAGGAGAGGCGGCAGGGGGAGGAGGAGGCAGGGGGAGGAGGAGGGGAAGAGAGTGGCAGGGGGAGGAGGTGGAGGGGGAGGAGGAGGCAAGGAGGAGGAGGCAGGGGGCGAGGAGGTGGCAGGGGGAGAGGAGGTGGCAGGGGGAGAGGAGGTGGCAGGGGGGAGGAGGTGGCAGGGGAGGAGGAGGCAGGGGGAGAGGAGGCAGGGGGGGAGAGGAGGTAGGAGAGGAGGTGGCAGGGGGGAGAAGAGGTGGTGGGGGGGAGGTGGCAGGGGAGGAGGAGGCAGGGGGAGAGGAGGCAGGAGGAAGAGGGGGGTGGAGGAGGGAAGAGGAGGTGGGCAGGGGGAGGAGGAGGCAGGGGGAGAAGAGGCAGGGGAGAGGAGGTGGGCAGGGGGGAGGTGGCAGGGGAGGCAGGAGGCAGGGGAGAGGAGTGGAGGGGGAGGAGGTGGCAGGGGAGGAGGTGGCAGGGGAGGAGGAGGCAGGGGAGAGGGAGGTGGCAGGGGAGGAGGTGGGCAGGGGGGAGGAGGTGGCAGGGGGAGAGGAGGCAGGGGAGAGGAGGTGGCAGGGGAGGAGGTAGGGGAGGAGGTGGCAGGTAGGGGGAGAGGAGGGCAGGAGGAAGAGGAGGCAGAGGAGGGAGGGAGGAGGTGGCAGGGGGGAGGAGGTGGCAGGGGAGAGGAGGTGGCAGGGGGAGAGGAGGTGGCAGGGGGAGAGGAGGTGGCAGGGGGAGGAGGAGGCAGGGGGAGGAGGAGGCAGGGGGGAGAGGGACAGCCAATCTTTATATATTTTAGCCTTGGTTATTTCACTCTCAGATCAACCACCCTAATGCGAACCTAACCTAACCGAACCTTTGATCGTGTGGCCGCCATTATACCACGAGCGAACACAATGGTGGCGTTCGTGTGTGAAGATAATTAATGAGCTTTTAGCAGAGTTCTTACTTCACGTGTGTGTGTGTGTGTGTGTGTGTGTGTGTGTGTGTGTGTGTGTGTGTGTGTGTGTGTGTGTGTGTGTGTGTGTGTGTGGCTATTTATAACGACAAATTACATCTCACGTGCCGTATTAATTTATATTTTATTCTCAAGTAAATTATATGTTACACGGGTCTGGGACAACTGCCCGCCATAGGGAAAGGAATGAGTTTACCAATAACTGGCATTAAACACGAAACTAAGAGAGGAGAAAATAACACCTAAAATGAATGCTTTATTTTCTTGGTTTATTTATTATGTGTAATAGTAATTATATGAGGTGTGATCCAGAAGTTCCCGGACTGGCTTCATAAACTCTTTCTCTTAGCAGATGTCGACACGAATCATCAGCATTTACTCACCTTGGGTATAAGTTTTTAACTGTGTTGATTTGGCGGGAATCTGTGGCGCCAACTGGCCGTAGTGCAGCTTTGTGTGTGTGTGTGTGTGTGTGTGTGTGTGTGTGTGTGTGTGTGTGTGTGCTGGCCCGTGACTTCTAAGTCGAGTGACTCAGTCCTAGTCGCCACTCAACCCTCAACAAGGAGGGAGGTATCGAGGAACTCTGCGCCATCAGATTTTGCTTCAGACTCGGAAAAATGGTGCAAAAACCCATTAAGTGGTCAAGGAAGCTTACAAATATGAAGCAATGTCCAGGGCTTCAGGTTTTTAGGTGGCACAAAGAGCTTCAAAGAAGGTTGCACCTCCTTTGAAAATGAGGATTGTTCTGGGCGGCCTTCCACTGAGAGAAATGATGAAAATGCCCAGAAAAATGACCAGCTTGTCCATGAAGATCATAGAGTGACCATCCACGAGTTGCCGAGCGATTGACCTCTCATATGGAAATGTTAACCGGATTCTGATGACCGGCAATTGGCTACTTCACCAGAACAACGCACCTGCGCACACTGTCCTCTCTGTGATGATTTTCTGGTGAAGCACAGCATCCCAGTGCCCCCCACTCTCCAGATCTGGCCCCCTCTGACTTCTGGTTATTTCCGAATTTCAAGTTGAACCTCAAGGGGAAGAAGATCGCGGACAGAATGGAGGTCCAGGACACATCGCAGAAGGTGTTCTCCAGCCTCACCATCGAGGACTTCCACAAGTGGGAGGAAGGGATTGAGGCTCTGGAGAATATCTTAAGGGTGGCTAGAGTTTCACTGTTCTGTAATATTGTGAAAAATAAAGGTTATATGAAGCCAGTTCGGGAATTTTGGGGTCACACCTCGTATTAATACACCTAACCTAACCGCCGAAGCCGGTGCTAAGCCCCTGGCTTCGAAGCCGAAACCGGTTTCAGCCCCATGCCTGGTACGATGGTTACTAATGTTCACTGGCAATGGAGGGCAGTTGACCTGATACCATATTATACACATTATGCATCTTGGTTAAGTGAGATATACACAGTGGATCGAGTGTATTTAAATTTGTACCAAGTTATACACATCTGTATACTGTACACTGCGTATTTTTCTTCATTTTTAATATATATTGTTTTTTACTTTCAGGAAATAAACTGAATCGACTCGGCGTTGATCTAATGGACTTGGAGCAGAGGTGAGTCCCTTATACCTGACCCACGGCCATTATACCTGACCCACGACCTTATACCTGACCCACGGCCCTTATACCTGACCCACGGCCCTTATACCTGACCCACGACCTTATACCTGACCCACGGCCCTTATACCTGACCCACGGCCCTTATACCTGACCCACGGCCATTATACCTGACCCACGATCTTATACCTGACCCACGGCCCTTATACCTGACCCATGGCCCTTATACCTGACCCACGACCTTATACTGACCCACGGCCCTTATACTGACCCACGACCTTTACCTAACCCACGGCCCTTATACCTGACCCATGGCCTTTATACCTGACCCACGACCTTATACTTGACCGACGGCCCTTATACCTGACCCACGGCCCTTATACCTGATCCACGGCCGACCTGACCCACGGCCCTTATACCTGACCCACGGCCCTTATACCTGACCCACGGCCCTTATACCTGACCCACGGCCCTTATACCTGACCCACGAATAAGAGGAAGAGAGAGATGGAGGAAGAGGTAGGAGACAGAGAAAGAAAGAAAAGAGAGGATAGAGAAAATAGGAAGAATGAAAGGGAAAGAGAGAGAGAGCTGGAGGGTATAAAGAGAGAGAGAGAGAGGGGGGGAGGTTAAAATGAGAAAATCAATGTAGTGACGGAGAGAAGGGAGCAATTGACGTTCTGTTTATTGAAGGAAGGAGGAAAGAAAAAGTGAGAGTGAGTGTGGGAGGGAGGGAGGGTGAGAGAGGGAGAGGGAGAGTAAGGGTGTGTGTGTGAGTTTCCACCAATGTGTGTGTGTGTGTGGTAAGCCTGTAAACTGGTACCCTGTTGTAATCCAGGAATGTATAAAGGCAACTGGTGTGTCTTACGGCGTGTGGTGGCATTTATAGGAATAGCAGTAGTTTATCGCTAAGAGATACATTTAAATATGTTCATGTGGACTGGTGAAAGGAGCTGTTTAACACACAAACAAGCATTCACAGGCAGGTACCAAACAGGGAGGTACTACTGGTGAAAGGAGCTGTTTAACACACAAACAAGCATTCACAGGCAGGTACCAAACAGGGAGGTACTACCGCCTGGGAAGATATTGGAAGCACAATGTGTTGTCTAATGGTAGACCCTGCTGCCATATGTGACCAAGTCCCAGGTTGATGATCTGACTTTCTGCCTCATTTACACACAGTTGCAGGGTCTCAATTGTTTCACTTACTATTGACAACACAACATACATATATTGTTTCTCACTTTTTATCTTTTTTTTCATTTTTGTATTTATTTATGGTTCTTTATTATTATTATTATTATTATTATTATTATTATCATTATCATTATTATTATTATTTTTATTATTATTATTATTATTGTTATTATTATTATTATTGTTATTATTATTATTATTATTATTATTATTATTATTATTATTATTATTATTATTATTATTATTATTATTATTATTATTACTATTTATTACTATTACTATTACATTTCCGCTCCAGGTTCTGATGTGGGTCAGTGACCTCTGCCCGGGTGGGTTAATCCCCGTAAAAAAAATTACATTTTGATAATGTTTGTTTACGTTCGCCTGTGACGTCATCAGCCGTGGAGTAAACTGAGAACCCGTGTTGTTGATATTTATTATTATTATTATTATTATTATTATTATTATTATTATTATTATTATTATTATTATTATTATTATTATTATTATTATTATTATTATTATTATTATCATTATTATTATTATTAATGTTGTTGTTGGCGTTATTATTTGTTTTATTATTATGGAAGGTATTTTATTCCATGTTGTGTTTAGGTTGACGTGTCTAGAGGTTTATTTAGTGTGGAACTCTATGGATGTGACACTCCATGTTTCACTTGCCTCTCCCAGCTGTACCGGTAATAATAATAATAATAATAATAACAATAATAATAATAATAATAATAATAATAATAATAATACATGATAATAATTTTAATACTACTACTACTAATAATAATAATAATAATAATACATAATAATAATTTTAATAATACTACTACTAATAATAATAATAAGTAACACTTGATTGAAAAATACAGTAGAAATAATCTGAACTTATACATACATACATAAATACATACATACATTGTGACGTGTACAAGAGGGGCATTTAACAAAGGATTTTCAGTGTATTTACCGTACAAAAAGAAGAAAAGCAGGAAGTGAACACAAAAATTCTCTACAAGTTGGTGATAATTTTTACAGTGGTTGGGACTGGGATGTTCTTATAGCGATCAGTACGTGGTCTTATGGGCTGAAAGCGGTTGACGAGGGATCTCAGGTGGAAGCAGGAGACGGTGATGAGAATGGTGGTGTAGTAACTGTGTCCTAAACTGACAGACGAGGTCACAGTGGGATTAGAAAGTGTGTGTGTCTGTATGTGTGTGTGTGTGTGTGTTTAACTTCGTGGATAAAGCGTTTAGGTATTAGCATTCTCCTTAACTGATTTTCCCTCCTCTACTCCCTAATCTAACCTGTGTTCCCCCGGTTAATTTCATGACCCCACAATAGTCCCTGTGGCCAGAACAATGTTATTATAGCTGCTATTAACTCCTATAGTCCTCAATATCCTCCTATTAACTCCAATAGTCCCTCAATATCCTCCTATTAACCTCTATAGTCCTCAATATCCTCCTATTTACCCCAATAGTCCCTCAATATCCTCCTATTAACCCCAATAGTCCCTCAATATCCTTCTATTAACTCCTATAGTCCCTCAATATCCTCCTATTAACTCCTATAGTCCCTCAATATCCTCCTATTAACTCCTATAGTTCCTCAGTATCCTCCTATTAACTCCTATAGTCCCTCAATATCCTTCTATTAACCCCAATAGTCCCTCAATATCCTCCTATTAACTCCAATAGTCCCTCAATATCCTCCTATTAACCCCTATAGTCCCTCAATATCCTTCTATTAACCCCAATAGTCCCTCAATATCCTCCTATTAACTCCTATAGTTCCTCAGTATCCTCCTATTAACTCCTATAGTCCCTCAATATCCTTCTATTAACCCCAATAGTCCCTCAATATCCTCCTATTAACTCCTATAGTCCCTCAATATCCTCCTATTAACTCCTATAGTCCCTCAATATCCTCCTATTAACCCCAATAGTCCCTCAATATCCTCCTATTAACTCCTATAGTCCCTCAATATCCTCCTATTAACCCCTATAGTCCCTCAATATCCTCCTATTAACTCCTATAGTCCCTCAATATCCTCCTATTAACTCCTATAGTCCCTCAATATCCTCCTATTAACTCCTATAGTCCCTCAATATCCTCCTATTAACTCCTATAGTCCCTCAATATCCTCCTATTAACTCCTATAGTCCCTCAATATCCTCCTATTAACTCCTGGTCCTCAATATCCTTCTATTAACCCCAATAGTCCTCAATGTCTCCTATTAACTCCTATAAGTCCCTCAATACATCCTTCTATTAACCCCAATAGTCCCTCAATATCCTCCTATTAACTCCTATAGTCCCTCAATATCCTTCTATTAACCCCAATAGTCCCTCAATATCCTCCTATTAACTCCTATAGTCCCTCAATATCCTTCTATTAACCCCAATAGTCCCTCAATATCCTCCTATTAACTCCTATAGTTCCTCAATATCCTCCTATTAACTCCTATAGTCCCTCAATATCCTCCTATTAACTCCTATAGTCCCTCAATATCCTTCATAGCTTCTGGTCCCTCAATATCTTCCTCCTATGCTTTCCTATAGTTCCTCCCAGTATCCTCCTATGCTCCTATAGTCCCCTCAATATCCTCCTATTAACTCCTATAGTTCCTCAGTATCCTCCTATTGCTCTATAGTCCCTCAACCTCCTCCTATTAGCTCCTGGTTCCTCAGTATCCTCCTGTGCTCCTATAGTCCTCAATATCCTTCCTATTAGCTCTATAGTCCTCAATATCCTCCTAATAACCCCTATAGTCCCTCCAATGTCACTCCTATTAACTCCTATAGTCCCTCATGTCTCCTGTGTGCTCCTATAGTCCTAAATATCCTCCTATTAACCCCAATAGTTCCTCAATATCCTCCTATTAACCACTATAGTCCCTCAATATCCTCCTATTAACTCCAATAGTCCCTCAATATCCTCCTATTAACCTCTATAGTCCTCAATATCCTCCTATTTACCCCAATAGTCCCTCAATATCCTCCTATTAACCCCTATAGTCCCTCAATATCCTCCTATTAACTCCTATAGTCCCTCAATATCCTCCTATTAACCCCAATAGTTCCTCAATATCCTCCTATTAACCACTATAGTCCCTCAATATCCTCCTATTAACTCCAATAGTCCCTCAATATCCTCCTATTAACCTCTATAGTCCTCAATATCCTCCTATTTACCCCAATAGTCCCTCAATATCCTCCTATTAACCCCTATAGTCCCTCAATATCCTCCTATTAACTCCTATAGTCCCTCAATATCCTCCTATTAACCCCAATAGTTCCTCAATATCCTCCTATTAACCACTATAGTCCCTCAATATCCTCCTATTAACTCCAATAGTCCCTCAATATCCTCCTATTAACCTCTATAGTCCTCAATATCCTCCTATTAACCACTATAGTCCTCAATATCCTCCTATTAACCCCTATAGTCCTCAATATCCTTCTATTAACCCCTATAGTCCTAAATATCCTCCTATTAACCACTATAGTCCTCAATATCCTCCTAATGCTCTATAGTCCCTCAATATCCTCCCTGTGCTCTACTGGTCCCTCAATATCCTCCCTATTGCTCCTATAGTCCCTCAATATCTCCTATGCTCAATAGTCCTCAATATCCTCCTATTAACTCCAATAGTCCCTCAATATCCTCCTATTAACCCCTATAGTCCCTCAATATCCTTCTATTAACCCCTATAGTCCGTCAATATCCTCCTATTAACTCCAATAGTCCCTCAATATCCTCCTATTAACTCCTATAGTCCCTCAATATCCTCCTATTAACTCCAATAGTCCCTCAATATCCTCCCATTAACCACTATAGTCCTCAATATCCTCCTATAGTCCTCAATATCCTCCTATTAACCACTATAGTCCCTCAATATCCTCCTATTAACCCCTATAGTCCTCAATATCCTTGTGTTACCCATTCACTCCCTATTAATTAACCTTAATGTCCCCCCAGTAATTAACCTGTGTCTTTTTTTTTAATCATAATGTTTCTTCAGTTAATTTAGCCATCTTCCTTAATTAATCCATCCATTAATTGAAATCATCTCCGAATTAATCCACCCCCTAATTAATCCACCCCCTAATTAATCCACCCCCTAATTAATCCACCCCCTAATTAATCACGGTGTGGGCGGCAGGTTGTGTGAGGTGGAGAGAAGTGTTGCCAGCCTGCGCGCTGACCTGCCTCCAGTGGTGGACGACCTGCGCCGAGCTGTAGACTCCTTCAAGATGAGACTGGAGACGACTGAGCACCTGTCCTGGCTAGGTGAGTCTATTACCACACACTTCCCTCACCCCCACACACCCTCTTCCTCCCCACCCCCACACTCCCTCACCCCCCACACACACTCCCTCACCCCCACACCCCCCTCCCTCACCCCACACACCTCCCCTCACCCCCACACACTCCTCCCTCACCCCACACACCTCCCCACACCCCTCCCTCACCCCCCACACACCACCTCCACCCCACCCCCACACACCTCCTCCACCCCACACACCTCCTTCACCCCACACACCTCCTTCACCCCACACCTCCTCACCCTCGCCTCCCCCCACGCCACCTCCACCCCACACACCTCCTTCACCCCACACACACCTCCTTCACCCCACACACACCTCCTTCACCCCCACACACCTCCTTCCACCCCCACCCCACACACACCTCCCCACCCCCACCTCCCTCACCCCCACCCCACACCCCTCACACACCCCACACACCTCCCCCACACCCCACCTCCCTCACCCCCACCTCCCCACCCCCACACACACCTCCCCCTCACCCCACACCTCCCTCACCCCCACACACCTCCCCTCACCCCACACACCTCCCTCCCCACCCCCCACACACACCTCCCTCACCCCCACACACCTCCTAGATATAGTAGAGAATTTTTGATGAATTATATCAGCTTTTACATGACTTGTTACACAACTCTTTCTCAAGTGACTTATTGAAATATTTATGTATCCTTCCCTGGTGATTCACTTTTAGTCACCTGCGCGGTCTTAAAGTAAGGTGAGGAAAGGGGAAGAATAAATTAAAGGAAAATACCTCACCGGTTATGTCGAGGCATGTAGTTATTATGGTGTTGTCATCTTATTACTGAAAGGAGTCGTCACTAGGTGAATGATTACTTCAAGAATGTTATGTGTAGTTGAGGGATGTACTGTAAGGCGGTGTTGAGGCCGAGCTGTTGCCCTCACGCTGCTGAATAAACGTATTGTTACACACTAGGTGGCAGGTACCGCCGCCAGGCAAGAGGAAACGAGACGCTCTGTCACTAACGCCGTCACTTTTTTGATTCCCATAATGAAGAAACCAGTCAGTTGGTTCACATGAGTAGTCAACATTCTCCCCAGAACTATACTGTATACTCTGCCGACTCGGGACTTTAGTTTAGATCACAAATTTTCGTAGAAATCGCGTGAATGCTTGGATTACAGCCTCAAACATCGGCGTCACTGTTGTTGTTGTAGTACAGGGATTCACGCAATCTAAAAAAAAAAAAGTAAGGCGGTGTGTCTACCTTTTTTAATCATCCTGTGCTTCTTTCTCTCATATATCTGTCAGTGTTGTGTAACGTATTTCAGAGCTTTCTTTTTAATGCTGCTAACATGGTGACAACCGGTAAATAAACCAGTATTAAAAGTTTCAAGTAACCGAACCAGTCATACGCTCGGCACTATAGGGAAGGGGATTAAGGGGTGACTGAGGTAAACTAGAGATTCAGAGGCCTATTTTCACATTCAATTTGACTTAATATATCTTATATCCATTTCCACTGTACTGTATGTACCTAAGTAAAATGAAAATGAATCTTGATGCGCTACACGGATACATATTTAACTTTAAGCAATTAGTTTATTTTGTATTATATTTGGCAATAAAGTGTAGCATTTTATATAAACTAAACATCAAAATTTTTAAGTAATTCGTGTTTTTTTTTAGATTAATTTTGGATATGTCGTTCGCATGTCTACTTAGTCTATAGGTTCTCTACTATTACAGTGTGAACAATTTTATTTTTTATCGTTAACTCATACAATATCTCTCTCTCTCTCTCTCTCTCTCTCTCTCTCTCTCTCTCTCTCTCTCTCTCTCTCTTGACACAGGGTTCTACAAGGAAGGTATCGGGGAACCACTGGGCAGACTCGGCAACAGTCACCCCTACTGGAAGCACGTACAGTACCGCAGGAAGGTGGAAGAGGAGGTATCTACCGTGTTTACCAAGTTCAGGGAGATCTGGTGAGTTAAATCATGAGAAAAGTCAGAAAAATGTTAATTCCTATTCCCTAACCTAACCTATCCATTACTTTATAAATTTAGGTTATTAGAATACATTGACTTTTATTTCCTGTGAGGGTTTTTCTGAGCAAATTTTTAAACCTTTTTTTCATGTGACTTTTTTCCATACTCCGATTACCCACTCCGCCTCTCTACCCCTCACTCACCGCCTCACCCCTCACTCACGTCTCTAGGATGCTTTTATTCACACACACATATAGTCAAGACGTGTCCAGGAGTTAGTATAACTTTCTTATGACTAACTACGTCACTACAACTTAATATATGAAAGAATCATTATCAGTTGAGCGTTAGTGAAGGTATCTCGTAGTAGCTGGCAACTGTATCACTGAAGTATTACCAGGAAAGACTCTGGCCAGGTCAAAGATATTCGCCGAAGAAATTATCTCACTTAATTAGATCATTTCAGGTGTCTTTGTATTGCTCTGTTAATTTATTTATAGTGGGAGGAGGGGTAGAGACGTCAGGTTTCCATGATAAAACTGGCCGGCTTTTCATGTTTGGGATACCGAGGCGGCTGTGTGTGTCTGTGTTGAACCAGACTGTATTGATGTTAATTAAACTTTACGAGATGAATGTGTGTAGGTCTATCCCATAACTACGTGATTGGTTGTTTAGGTGAGGCCCGGGGTGGATACAACCATATTTGTCTATATCCCGTATGATTTACAAGGGCTTCATGACTTGCCTGCAGTTATTAACCTCTAGAATGCCAAAGGTTAACTGTTGTGTGGCGTATTGTGTTTGAACTACAAAGAGAATGGGTTATTTAACATGTATTAACTTTGCAAAATTTTGATCCGAGTTAATGAAATAATACGACACGAGTCACCCAAATAATGTACAGTGGTATTTTATGTTTGACTTGTATATTATGTCGTTACTCTCAAGTGTTTATAAATGTCAATGTAAAAAATCAGTCTCGCTATATTTGGGCGATTTTGTCGCTTATAATGAACGTGAGCATGACTACAGTCAGGTGTGTAGTGTAGTGGTGTACAATACATTTAAAAACATTTAGAATGAGTACAAAAATACATAAAACATAACGTACAGTATTTCGGCTTTTTGCAAGGTGTAAAATAAAATTTTGTCAAGTACTGTGTTGGTAAATGATGAAATAGATTTACGAGCTGACAGAATGGAACTACTGTACAGTATAATATAGGTGTACAGTAAAATCGCCCCTCTAACATCATTGTCTTGTAGAATAACACAAACCACAAAAATAAAAGAAAACGACCACGAATTTCCCACACAATGTATTGCGGTAAACACACGATGACTTAGACGAGTTATGTCTGGGCGATATTTAACCTTACCGGAGTGTTGTTGAACCATATTGTTTTGTTAATATCTTACTGCACTTCAACAACCCAAGTCTTCCAGCAGGTAGTCTAGGCTGAAAGGAGTAAATATTTTATTTTTCATCCACCATCGTTGTCATTATGTTCATCATTAATAGATAACACAAATTACCTTTTTTCTTACTTTGTTGAGGTGAAAATGTCGCGTATTATTTTGTTTGGAAGTTGGTAATTATATTATTGAAAGGTGTTGCGGAATAACAATAACAAGAGAGGAATACACAGGACAATTGGTTGATGTGTCTGATGTTTCACTTGTGATTGAAGGTTAAATGTGTTTTGCACCTGATGTGTACCTGACACTCACAACAATTCTTAACCCACATACTGAGTAACTCCTTGACCCCTAGAGTAACTCCTTGACCCCTTGAGTAACTCCTTGACCCCTTGAGTAACTCCTTGACCCCTTGAGTAACTCCTTGACCCTTGAGTAACTCCTTGACCCCTGAGTAACTCCTTGACCCCTTGAGTAACTCCTTGACCCTTGAGTAACTCCTTGACCCCTTGAGTAACTCCTTGACCCCTTGAGTAACTTCTTGACCCCTTGAGTAACTCCTTGACCCGTGAGTAACTCCTTGACCCTTGAGTAACTCCTCCTTGTAACGCCAACCCTGATGCCTTGACCTGTGAGTAACTCCTTGACCCCGACTTGAGTAACTCCTGATAGCCTGAGAGTAAATTCCTTGACCTCTTGAGTAACTCCTTGACCCCTTTGAGTAACTCCTTGACCCCTTTGAGTAACTCCTTGACCCCTTTGAGTAACTCCTTGATCCCTTTGAGTAACTCCTTGATCCCTTGAGTAACTCCTTGATCCCTTGAGTAACTCCTTGATCCCTTGAGTAACTCCTTGATCCCTTGAGTAACTCCTTGACCCCTTTGAGTAACTCCTTGATCCCTTGAGTAACTCCTTGAGTCACTTCTTGACCCCTTGTCACTTCTTGACCCCTTGAGTAACTCCTTGACCCCTTGAGTAACTCCTTGACCCCTTGAGTAACTTCTTGACCCCTTGAGTAACTCCTTGAGCCCTTGAGTGACGTGTCTTTATGTGGTACAGTGACGCTGTGGTGGAGGAAGAGACGCGGGTACTCCTTCGCCTCCCCTCCTTCAACAACTGGGCCTGGGAGGATTGGGAGATACTACTGCTTCTGCAACACATGTAAGTAGTTCCTCTTGTTTATCTAACTTATTTTGCTTTATCTTTACCTGTATCTTACTTAATTACTTTGTTGTTTATATTTTCCTGCGTAGGTTTCTTGTCATCGTGTTTTCCTTCCTTAGTTTCCTCGATATTGTTTCCTCTTCCTTCGTATGTTGTCTTCCCTTCGTTTCTTACCATCGTGTTTTCCCGCTTAGTTTCCTGGTTTATATTGCTTATCCTTCCCATTCTTCGTTATGTTGTTTATCGTCCTCTCCTTCTCCCATGTGTTTCTTTTTCATTGTGTTCCCTGAAGTTCTTTTTTTGAGTTTGGTATATTTTTAACTTTGTATGAGTGTAGTTAGCTTTTTGAGAGTAGTTAGCCTGTTGAGAGTAGTTAGCTTGCTGAAAGTAGTTAGCTTTTGAGTAGTTAGCTTTGAGTAGTTAGCTTGTTGAGAGTGGTTAGCTTGTTGAGAGTGGTTAGCTTGTTGAGAGTGCTTAGCTTGTTGAGAGTAGTTAGCTTCTTGATGGTAGTTAGCTTGTTGTTTGCCTGTTGAGAGTACTTAGCTTCACACATTTGTTGCTTAATATTATATCTTCAGCCTTGATATTATGTTGATTGTTATTTTCAGGTACAATGACTTAGGGCTGACGACTACGTTTGGCATCGAGACAGAGGTGCTGAGGAGCTTCCTGTGTCGGGTGTATCACTGCTATAATCAAGTCCCCTTCCATAACTTCCAGCACGCCTTCTGTGTCACGCAAATGGTGAGAGATGATCCAAGGTGTTGAAAAACTTGCCATGTACAGCCTCTTGAATGTATACCTGAACATATTACTTAGATGATTGACAATTTAACCTAATCTAACCCGACCTGTCTTAATCTAATCGTCTAAGTTGGATGGTCCACCCACCTCCTCCCCCTTCTTCGTCTTCCTCTACCCCTTGAACCACCCACCTCCTCCCCCTTCTTCGTCTTCCTCTACCCCTTGAACCACCCACCTCCCCCTTCTTCGTGAACCACCCACCTCCTCCCCTTCTTCGTCTTCCTCTCCTGAACCACCCACCTCCTTCTTCTTCCTCTTCCTCTACCCCTTGAACCACCCACCACATGATTGAGAGAAATTTGGATAATAAAGATATAGGTAGGATTTAGAATTTTTTATTAGTGTATTTGTATTATATTATAGTTATTGAAGGTTTCATTTATATACATTATACAATCAACTTTTTTTTTGTACAGAGGAACTTTAGGAAAACTTACAGTAATACATATAGGTTAATTTTTTTCTTAGTATTTTGAGAGAGAAAATATGGATCCTATAGTTATGTTTTCTTATACAATATAATGAAAATATAGTGATGTATATAACAAAGACATTTTAGGTACTACAAGCATACTTTGATATTATTTTTCCAAGTTAGTAATAGTTTCCAGTCAAGTAAGACAACTCATAATGATGTAACTAGTTTAATAATGTTGGTTAACTTGAAGAAAGTACCGAAATATTGCAGCTGTGTCCATCTAATCACAGGGGTAACTGATCATATATAAGCAAAGGTTCCCTGGAGAAATACTTCACTTAAACTAATCTTCCTCTAGAATGATATACTTCCCTGTGGCAGTGAATGAAACAACAGATCAGATACAGTCAGTTAGAACAGTGTGTTGAACTTAACCTAACCTGACCTAACATGACCTGACCAAACCTGACCTAACCTGACCTAACTTGACCTAACCTGACCTACCTAACCTGAACCTAACATGACCTGACCAAACCTAACCTGACCAAACCTGACCTAACCTGACCTGACCCTAACCTGACCAAACCTTAACCTGACCAAACCTGACTACATGACCAAACCTGACCTAACATGACCAACCAAACCTGACCTAACCAAACCTAACCTGACCTTGACCTAAACCTGACCTAACTTAACCCCAAACCTAACCTGACCTAACCAAACCTAACCTGACCAAACCTGACCTAACCTGACCTGACCAAACCTGACCTAACCAAACCTAACCTGACCAAACCTGACCTGACCTGACCTAACTCACATTTACACTGCAGATGTACGGGATGATCTGTAAGTGTGAGCTGCAGCGACGTCTTGGAGACTTGGATGTCCTCATACTGTTGACCTCATGCATCTGTCATGACCTGGATCACCCTGGCTTTAACAACATCTACCAGGTCAGTGTATGTACTCCCCCCCAGGTGTACTTGTTCCCCTCAGGTGTACTTGTTCCCCTCAGGTGTACTTGTTCCCCTCAGGTGTACTTGTTCCCCTCAGGTGTACTTGTTCCCCTCAGGTGCACTTGTTTCCCCAGGTGTACTTGTTCCCTCAGGTGTACAGGTGTACATGTTCTTCCCTTTGTTCCCCAGGTGCACTTGTTTCTTGTTCCCCAGTGTACTTGGTGTACTTGTCCCCATGTACTTGTTCCCCTCAGGTGTACTTGTTCCCCTCAGGTGTACTTGTTCCCTTCAGGTGTACTTGTTCCCCTCAGGTGTACTTGTTCCCCTCAGGTGTACTTGTTCCCCTCAGGTGTACTTGTTCCCCTAGGTGAATGATATACCTAATGCAGGAGTTATTGTTGAGGTATTTATTAATTTGATACAATATTTATAATCTGTCTTTCTGTATAGATTGCTTAGTACTTGTCTAATGAAAATAAAATACAGTAAAGCCTCTATTAGTGGACTGTTTAAAGATGAAAGTCCATTATATCGAGGGCCTGTTTGATATGAGATCCCCACCTAACGGATTATATGAAGAGGGAAGTCTGCTATAGAGTTTAAACTGTAAATGTCATAATTAAGTACAGTACTGGATTCTGAAATAATGTTATGTATTTTGCCTTAATTTTCTCACCAGAGTTATGAGAACAACGAGTGTTTATGATTTGTAACTACAGTATATATTCCTTTACAGATCAATGCCAAGACTGAACTGGCTCTCAGGTACAATGATATCTCCCCCCTGGAAAACCATCACTGTTCTGTTGCTTTTACGGTGTTGGAGAGGAACGAATGTAACATATTTAGGTAAGATACTTGATTATAAAGTTTGGTAAGAATAATTATAGCCTTATTATATCATATATGTAAGATTCTTTATAATATATTCAAGTAAAACATTTAATAATAATTTTTGGTGAGTTTTTATCATAGAAAGTTCCTTCTGTGCTATGTTTTAGAGGGACAATGTTAACCAATGTACTGTATTATCATGTTAATTAACTTACATTTAAACTTACAAATACCCCCCTGTATATGAATAAATCCTTTCACAAAAACAATAAATTTATAAAATTAAGTGTATCCCGTTAATATAGTTTTAGCTGTGATTTCAGGAAGCTTGTTAATAAGTGCATCAGAGACGACTGTGTAAGATTTAAGTATGAATGGGTTGTATACTGGGGCTTTGTCTTGTGTTTTGCTTCAAAGAAATAAATCATCGCTTCTAGAAATATTTACACAAATATTTTCCATAATGGTTAAAATGTTGAGTGAACTAGTTGCCACTGCCAGAAGGTATAATATAAGCAAGGTGTAGCAGAAGTCAGGATATAACTAACTGGATGGTAATGTCAACAGGAGAAACTTTATTTACAAACTCAGTATATCTCCCTCATAGTGATGCTTCTATACTGCGATAATCTGAAGAGTCAGTGAATATTTATACGTCATTGGTACAGTAAACAAAACATTTCGTTGATCCGTTGGGCTAGTAGGGTGGCTCCTCCTTGTAAATTTTTATACACAGAGGAAATAATACGGTTATAATTCCATCTAATAGGTGAGGAAAGTCTGTTAGATTAAGGTACATTTGACGTTAAACTTCCATCTATACTGGAATTAAAACCCACATGATTTGGGTCTATTAAATGTGAGACTTGATTTACTAACAGTATATAAGTTAAATCAAGATTCCATTACATTTAGGTTTCACTATATTAATGTGAAGAATGTGAAACTTCCTGTGTACTACAATTTTGATGGTTGGTATTAATGTTAACCTCATCAATTATGTTGCAGGAATGTGCCTGCTGAAGACTACAAGAAAATAAGAGAGGGGATGATACGGTGCATCTTGGCAACCGACATGGCCCGTCACAATGAGATCCTCTCCGACTTCCGCGAGGCCATCCCAGCTAAAATTAACTGTATGGTCATCCAGATTCTAATTTACCCCAATAGTCTGGGGTCAGTGTCCCAGTCAAGATACAGTATTGTCCTTGCCAGCATGGTCAACACATGCTGTTTGGAGTCCATATATAGCACGAAAGTCCTGCTTACACACTTTATATGAAATGTCTTTATACTGGATGATGTACACAACTACTCACCTCCTCACTCTTAATGGGTATCACGTTGACTAGCTTCTGTAGATAAGCATTCTGGAGATTATATTCTCCTAGGTCCCAAAATGCTTTTAAAGATCTGGTCCACAACAGACCTGGTAATCTTCGCTAATCATCCATCATAACAAGGCGGCCCTAAGACCTGTGAAGTAATGTTTGTTTCCAGTGGTGAGCTTCACCCATGTTACGCTTAGCTGTTACGATATTTTTTCTTCCACTCAGGCTTATCCGCCACCCTCTTACAGCCACGAGAGGCAGCAGGCTCTTCCACATCACTATGGTCATTCATTATGCACAAGTACAGATTGGTAATCACAAAAAAGCCATTAAAATGTGACAGACATTCTTATTGCACAGCTACAGCTGTACTAGCAACTTTAGCAGGAAGACAGAATGACACTGTATGTTGGTTGGTCTGTGAGAAATGTCTCGGAAACCATGAATGGCTGAGAAGCGCTAAAATTTTTGTAACGTTATGCTAGGTGTTCTGTAATTGGCTGCCTTACTCTCAGTGTGGCTGAGGAAGATAGGTAGTACAGACCTTGCTCAGGTCCAGGGGATATGAATTATCCCAGGGCATTTACTGCTCACTTCACTACCTATTTGGTTTAAAAGGACTTTTGACTCTATTCTTTATGACATAACTGGTTATCTATTGATTGTCTGAAATAGAATTGTTTGATGGATATGATAGTATAAAAAGGTGTTTTTGGCTCTGGTGGTGCTTAGACATTTCTCGCAGGGGTAAACTCATATATGATAATCTAAAAAAAAATATGCAAGTACTGTAATTACCATAACCTAAATATTATTACTGCAATACTTAACAGTACACTCCATTGAAATTCCACTCTACATTATTTGAAATCAGCTATGTACTGTACTTTGCATATCAGTGGGTCTGTCTCCCCTAACTTAGAAGTTTACAAAGTTCAGTTCTTTGGAATTATGAGATCTGTTGAACATTAATATATCATATTCTTTATTACTTATAATTTTATGTATTAGATTTACAATTCTGTAATATCTGGCATTTTTACTATGGAATATACAGTACTTTATAATGATTGATTACTGGATCTTATTAACTTCTGCAAAGGGTACTAAACCTTACCATAGTTTTGTGCAGATGCCTCTGCCTCACAATACATTACTCTCCCATAATTTCAGTTGTCCATGATCCTGATAAAGGTAGCAGACATCAGCAATGAAGCACGACCACTGGATATTGCTGAACCGTGGCTGGAGTGCCTCATGCAGGTATGTTCTGAGAGGGTAAAGATTATATCACTCTGTGTGTCAGAGGCAGAGGTTAGGTTTGGTTAAGCGAGGTGACTGAGTGCTTTATGGAAACATGCTTACAGTACTTGTATTTTTGGTCCCCTTCCATAATTTTATCTTTAGGCAAAGAAGAATAGAAGAACATGTCTATTACAACAGCAAAAATAATGAGTGACATAGAGGAGGGAGGCTGTTGGGTCTGGCCAGCCTGCACTATGTGGCAAAAGATTTGAATGAGTGGAATAAAAATTGAACAGACACTAAGAAAATGAGCCACAAGTTACAAAGAACAGTATTAACAGTATAGAATTAGTGAGGTTTTGTATATAGGTTGGCTAAGATGGTTTGGGCATGTGGAGAGAAAAGAGAAGACCAATTGGGTCAAGAGATTGAAGGGGAGGCAAGCCAGGGGTAGGCCAAGAGTAACATGAGGAGAGGTTGTATGAAATGATGAGAGAGGCTACAAAAGACAAGCAACATGGAGAGCTGTCATCAGATAATCGCAAGAACTAAAGTAACTTATATTTTATACTTTATTCTCTAGTCTAGTCTTCAATGCGCTTACACTCAATGCATTATCCTCTCAGTATAGTGACTAAGGAAAATATTTCATAATATATTCAGAATTATGTAATGTTGAAAACACAGTTTCTTGTCCACTCAGTAAAGATAAGCATTGTTGAGTCTGGTTAATACTTGGATGGTAACTGCCTAGGAAGACCAGATGCTGTTAAACATAAGGACCTTACTGGCAATAAGCATATCATGGCTTTGTCGGCTATCCTTGGTCAAGTTGACTAAATATCAATTATTAATTTTGTCCAACCTAAGAATATTTTTGTTATTACTCTGTGGTTTACATTTTAAACAACTCCCCAGACACCGAGAAGTATGTACAGTAAAGGTTGGAAAGAGAAAATATTAATACAGTAATGGACAAGAGCAAGTACAGTACATTACCCCAGACTGGCTTCTGTATGTTAATTTAGTATATGTACTGTATTTATACCTTATTTACCTAATGGTCATCCAATCAAGAGGTGGCCATGCTGAGGGAAGGGAGCCAGTAGCCTGTGATTGCCCCTTTGTTCTTGATAGTGGATAGTGTTGTCTAGGACAGTTTTGTGATATTGATTGTTCAATATCTATTGAATCCATTTTTGTATTTGTGAAAAAAATGGAGTGAAGATAGACAAATGCCGTATTGTATTAGAGAATACTGTACTGTACCCATCATCCAAACATTTTTTCTCTTTGAAGGAGGTGCAGAAATATTAGCTCAAGGCCTCAGAACATGGTTGTTAATGTCTCTGCATCAGTACAGACAATAAACTTGTGACTTTATGTATGTTTTAGCAACACAGATAATTGATATGAGGTAAAAACAGATTCAGGCAATTATTTTAATATACACAGATACTATTTGTCTGTCATGTGTAATACCACACAAGGGTTCTCACTTTTAGTCAGAGTTATGTAGGAAAAGAAAGAGAGGAATATTGAAATGACTTATAGAGGAAATTTTTCCACCTAAGAATTAATGGAATAACAGGGGGTTATGTTCCTATTCATTGCTAACATTATTAGTCTTCCCCATCTGGAGTACTGTCACCCCGTCTGGTCCCGGAGATATGCTAGGGACCGTCAGATGATTGAAAATGTCCAAAAGAGGGCCACCAGACTGGTGCCTGCACTTCGGCACCTCAGTTATCCAGAGAAATTAGAACATCTGCAACTGCCGGGTAAGGGGGCACATAAATGAAGTATATAAACATCTCAGAAGGCAATACTCAGTCGAGTGTCCATACCTGGATCTGCTGGATGCCCACCCCATAAGGGGTCACAGCTCACGGTTGAAGAAGCCACAAGTCCAGAAAACTGTGAATGCAAACTTTTTCAGAGTGAGAATTGGGAACTCTTGCCAGAGTGTTGTGACTGCACCAAGTGTGAGCTCTTTCAGAATCAGACTTGACCAACACTAGAGCAGGTTCAGCTACATTAAGGAGCCAGTACCTGCCCAGTACTTGCCAACAGTGCATAACAGAGATGTGACTGACTGCTGAAGTGACTAACGAGCTGATCAATAGCAAAGAGGATATAAGTAAATGCAATAAAAGTGAAAAGTATGTGACCAAAAAGGGGCAATTTTCGGTCATAAGGAATGGATTGGGTTGGGTTGGGTTAGTTCTGTTTCATTGACACTCTCCTCTATGATGTCCATAAGAAGAGTGAACAAGTAAATTACCTTTACAATGTAGTCTTTTGAACTGTACTATACTCTAGATATTACTTAATACTTCTTCTTTAACTCTAACTCACTCTTTTCACTTTAGGCCTATGATGGCTATGTAGGACAGAGGTACAGTACAATATTGGGGATAAAATGCACAAAAATTTCAGACATGTTCACTGGATGAAAGCACACGACACACTGATGCTTGTGTTTGCTCGGTGCACATTTTATTAAAAAGCTCTTAATATATGTTATAAATTACTATTTTAAATACAAACACCACCAGATATTAAGATACATTAATATAAGTCTATACTATACACTACATAGTGTTTGTCTTAGGCATGTAACACACTGTGCTCCTACAATGGGCTGAAGTAAGATACAGTACAAACATTAATAGTCCCTTTATTCATACCAGAGGAAATTAAAACTTTAAATAAAAGTTATTTGTATTTATTTAAGTATGTTTGGTAATTGTATTCTTATTTTACCTGTATTCATATGAACAGTATTGATTTATTACTCTGCCACGGCACGTACAGTACATAGTCTGAATGATAAATACTGTATGTGAAAATAAATCATAAATGACAAGTAAAGGTACAGTATGTTCCCAACTGATGAGTAGGTGAAACAACACTTAAAATGGGACCCCTTGTACACAGCCACAAATCTGATATCCTCGATTTGGATAAGTGAATATCACCTTCTGAGAGTTAGATGAGGTGTAACAATAGAGTATTTGAATAAGCAAATAGCAGTGATGTCTCCCTTAGCTGGAACAATTGGTGCAGAGTACTTCTGGGAATGAGAGATTTCCAGTTAACAAGACGACTATGAAAGCTGGAAAAAAAATCCCCCATCCCTGGAATTTTCCGGGTACCGGGAAAATTTTATCGTTAGTTACAGAACTTGTGCTTTACATCATCTCTCAGACCCAGAAAGAAATCGCCCATCCCCAGAATTTTGCCTGGTACCAAAATTTTCCAGAATGATGCGTTATTTTATCTCGTAAAGCCGGAAAAGATACCCCATCTCCTGAATTGTCTGGGTACTGGGAAATTCTTCTTTGAATTTCTGGAAAATGTATTTGATTTTCATCTCTCAAACCCAGAAAATTTGCCCATCCCCGGAATTTTCCGGATACCATGAAAATTTTCTCAGAAATTTCCAGAAAATGTGCCCTTCGGAAAATCATTTCCAAATCCGGAATTTTCCGGAAATTCCGTCTTTGGGAACGATTTTTGAGAAAATTTCAATTCTAGCTATCAGAGAGTTCCAGTTAAAAGGGATTAAGATAGTGATCATTCAGATAGCAAGGGATGCTTGTACAGGGTATTCAATTTGATGTGAGTTTTGGGGGAACATAACCCTTGTATATTTTACTATATTGCCACCCAATTGTACTGTACTTAAATGCGTTAATTTCTATTTCTGGGAGAAAAAGAGTTTTTGAAAAAAATATATTACCAAGAGTTCCCATGATAATCTTGACTGCTATATTTCTTACAGGAGTTCTTCAACCAGAGCGACCTTGAGAAGCTGGAGGGACTGCCAGTGTCACCTTTCATGGACCGGGAGAAAGTGACAAAGCCTTCCTCCCAGTGCTCCTTCATCGGTTTTGTTCTCTTGCCGCTTTTTGAAGCCCTCGGAAAAGTCATGCCTGAATTAGATGTAAGATGTCTTTGGAGCTGACTGTTAGAGACCCCTAAGGAAGGTTCTTTAATGTTAGTCTCATTTATACACTCACACACACTAATTATAATATGAAACCAAAGAAATAAACTAATAGGTACAGTATCACACACACTGGTTAGAGCCCATTCTGAAAAAGTATGAACACGCGCACTTCACCAACACATTTTTTGCATAATCTGTCATATCCTTTCTTTTACGTTTTCCAGCTACCATTCCTCTTTTATTTATGGTGACCCATGGTTTAGTTGTTAGCACATTCACTTTACGAGTGGGGGGGGTGGCTCTGAAGAAGGGAAACCTTGAGCAAGTTTCTTTGTGCTGTCTGCCTCAGCATTATTAGGGACTTGAACATTAAATGATTTATGGATCATATTCCAGGGTACTAGTTAGCCAGTGCAGTTAGCAAGTGGTATGGTCTTCCTGGGCTACTCATTGACACTGGGGTATGCACCTAGCCATCCCAGTGTGTTGTTTGTATATGGACTACAGCTTCTACACCTTGAACAAAGTGGCCTTACACCAAGTCATCCTTTAACATGAAGGGCAACCATTATTATAGAATACAGTATCTATATTACAGTGATACAGTAGAATGTTCCAAGATATGTTCCAAGAGAGGTCGCTTTAAACCGAATTCGTACTAAATCAAAGTTTTGTTTCAATGGAATAATTTAGTTTGGTACTCGAGAGAAGCACAAAATACTAAAAAGACTGAGAGTCTACCCAGATGCACCTCAGCCCATCTCCAAGAATAAACAAAACATTGATTTTTGTAGCATTATGTTTAAACAAACACTCATAAATCAATACAGCTAAAATTAAGGGATGCAAAATGGTCTGTTTACTGGCTGGGAAGATGAGGGGGAGAGGGAGGGAGGAGAGGTGATATGTTTGACAGTTTATGCCAAGGTCTAGGGCTGATTTATCTGTCCTTAAGAGTGAATTTACGTTTTTCTCTATAAAATGTCACTGAACTGACATGGGAGAATATAATTAACATTGCTGGAATTCTTATAAGATAGTGATTAATTTGAATATAAACATGCTATAGTTTGCACTAGACAAATTTTTTTTTTAATCATTTAGTGTATTATTTTGAGCACAGTGGTCCCTCGGTTAACGAAATTTCGTTTAACAAATTACCTTCCATAAGAATCTTCAATTCAGTTAACGAAAACAAATTCGATTAACGAAATCCTTACGAAAATCACATTTTGTTTTGAACATCAGCTGATAAGCTGAGGAGGTACTCAGCCAATTCAGTGATCTCTTCTATTTTTACAATCAAACTAATCACTATCTTATAAGAATTCCAGCAATAGAAATACTTCACACCACAGGTGCCAACTGTCAAACATGTCACTGTCACCCCTCCCTCCCTCCCTCCCTACCCCCCACCTTTCTGAGAAACGTTTGGGTAAAAAGACTAGGCTTACAGGTTTAAAAATAAATAATACCTCACACTAAAGTTAGGATAATATAAATTGTATTGCTGAAATCCTTGCAAGACAAGGAATAATCTGAATATAAACGTCATATATTTTGCACAAAAGATAGAATTTTTGCTCTCCCTAATAAAATTCTTAAATTAGATCTAAAATTTGTATGTCAAATGCAAATTTTAGCTTGTTTATATTCAAATTAATCACTTTCTTCTAAGAATTCCAGCAATGTAAATTATATTCTGGCTTTACTTTGTATATACCTTTTCTTTGAGCTGGAACCAATTACCCAATATCCCATTAAAACAATGGTTTCGGTTAACGAACGACCTTCTGAAACGAATTGTGTTCGTTAACCTAACCGAGGGACCGCTATGCATGTACAGTACAGCTTTGCCCTTAGGACAGCGTAGCGTGCCCAGAGAAACATTAGGCGCAAAATTTTAAATATGATGCGCCAGATTGACTTGCGCAAATTAGGAAAGATTCGCTTTAAATTAAAACATTGTCCCTAATTGTGGATGTCGCTTTAAATCAATAATCTTAAATTGAATTGCTTTAAATCGACGTTCTACTGTATCACAATTAGCCGGAGTAATTGGTGCAGAGCTCTTCTGGGAATAAGAGATTTCCAGGTATGAAGACAAATTTTTCATCCCCAGAAAAAGTTGCACATCCCTGGAATTTTTCTGGGTACTGGGGAAAGTTTTCTGAGAGTCTAAATTACACATCTTGTACGGACAAACAGAGAGCTGTATTTATTTATGCAAACACCGCTGTACATGTACAGTACATTGTAAATAAATAAAATATATTACTGTATACACTATACTGTATTCACCAGCAGCTGCTGTCATCTTGAGCTTAAGATGCAGGCAGGCTAAATGGTGATATGATGGGATTGTACAGTCTGCCACAAGAATAAGTATACAATACACCTACGGTTCGTGTTTGAGGCAAAATATCTGGTAACACTGTCCTGAACAGAACAGACAAAATTACAAAATGACCTGTAATTTATGTCTTATTCCTACATATATGTTATAAATACATTTGTTGTGAATGTTTTACGAGTGACTTGTGTTTATATTACAAGTAATATATTGTATCCAATGGTAGTAAACTTGTTGCCGAATGGGGTTGCAATTATCATACAGCTCCCTCCTCCTCCCCCACTTTTTCTCGTACCCTACTTTTTTTACTGATGTTTGGATTAGTAAAGGAAGAAAGAGGAGTAAATAGAAGAATAAAGAAGGGGAAACAGAAAATAGTTAGAGATAACAGGTGGGGTGGAGCCGAGTTTCATCATGCGTCTGGATGCACAGTTTCAACGTTACCAGACCATTTTTGGACCTTACAGCTACAGTGTGTATACTTATTCCTGTGGCCGATTGTACCTGCACTGTATATATACCTTTACACACTATCCTACAGTAGGCATACTGTACACTTTCCACTCTGCTATGTATAGCATCTTAAAAAAAAAAATCTCTCCAAACTCTGTGTGAAATATTATGAGACCACAGATGATAGATAATGGAACAGGCATATACTTTGGTATATAGATTAACATAATTAATGCAATGTGTATTTATTTCAGCATAATTAATGTGATAATTTGGTTACCAAATGTAGTAGGATCAGTATGCCACAAAGTCACGCATACCAACCCTCCCGGGACATCACGAGTTGCGTGTAGCATTTGGGAAGTCATCGGACCCATACTAACCCTACTACATTTGGTAACCAAACATTATAGGGGTATTAAATATGCCGAAATAAATTCACATTGCATTACTTTTGTTAAACTATACAGTATACCAAAATTAATGCTTGCCCCAAATATCTATCATCTGTGGTCTCATAATGTTTCACACAGTGTGAACAGATACTTTTTTGAGATACTGTACAATGGCAGCAGAATATGAACTAAACACAAGAGCCTACAGCCTAAGTTACCCAAGCAGTTACCGCACCCATGCACCTGGCACGTGGGAATGTGTTGGAGCATGATGCAATCTCTCGGAACTGACAAAAAAAATTCTCATGTCCTGAATGGAGAAAGTTTTCCCAGAAGGCTCAAAATTCGTTACTGCTGTTTGAGAATTCTGGGGACCGGAGATTTGGGATAACTGGGAGATTACTATTTACATCCAGTAAGCTATCTCCTTCTATATTGTAGAGAAGTTCATGTATTATATATTTTATTCATTACATGTATTTATAAACATTAATGATTTTCTTTATACTGTACGTATATGGGCAGCTCTTGGTTTACGTGCGTTTGTTTCATGCCATTTTTAGAGTAATTCAACGCTCCATTTACACCTTCTTTTTTTTTTTTTCAATTTGTGGGTTTATGTTTGGAATAACATGACCATCGACAAACATTATCATTGGGCTGGCAACGCGGTGGTGTAGCATTGTCTGTGCCGTACGAGAAGCATGTGTGTGCCTTGCAGTCCTCAGTGCATGGCTACAGTCAATAGTCACTGAGTACTACAGTAGTTTGTGCTGCAGTAGTACTGTATTCTGTACAGTATATTGTATGCATTTTGCCCCTTGCATCATGCCAACAAAGGTCACCACCACTGAGATTAAGATAGATGTGTATGAATGTTATGAGAGAGAGAGGAACAAACAGCTGATATAAAGTGTACCCTTGGGCTTAGTGAAGCTACTTTATGGACTCTTCATGATAGTGCAGAGAAGATCAAGGAGAGTGCCAAGAGTGGAACATTAATCAGTGCATCTATGACCTTGTACAATATTTACGTTGTTTGATGTAGTACATGTTTTTTATTTACAGGATTACTGTATTTTCAAAAATTTAATTATCACATAAATCGAGAGGTGCCTGTAATTTCCATTATTAACCATTCAGTCATTCTACAAGTACCCCCACACCTTTTCTATCCCATAGAAATTCCTCATCTTCATATATCCTATACTGTACTGTACATAAAAATTTTCTGAGGAAGATGTTAAAATAAGGGTGAAATTGTTAATAAGAAAAGAAAAGTAAACCCACATACAATACTGCAGGTATGAGTGTCACAGTTCATTATTTCATGAAAACTTTAGGATAACATATTTGTATTGTGGCAAGATGTTAGAATCATCATTGTCTCGCAGGCTGGTGAGGCCACTGTGGCCACTTCTATCATTACCTGGTCTGTAGATAGAGAGCAGTGCATTAGCTAGTAACTTGCTCATGGGGATGACATGTGATTGCTTCAGCTACATTTATTTAAATTTCTTGACAAGTTTAAGTGCCACACATTTGCAGATTTCATGATTTTGAAATACTACCGGTAATCTGTTTTTCTCATATTCTTAAGGTCCATAAATAAAGCAGATGGCTAGATTACTGCAATTATCTGGATACATTGCAGTGATATGGTGGGGCTTAATATGTGTTCTTAGTTGAGAAAATGCTTTTGTCATAGTTTCACGGTCAGTACTAATTAACAAAAGCTTTCATGTTTATAAAGGTTACTGAACCAACTGTAAACTTTTCCTCTTTGGCAGGAGTTGATCATCCAGCCTGTGAAGTATGCACTGGATCATTATCGACGACTGAATGAAGCATCAAAAAAGGCTTCTGAAGAGATGGAGATTGTTCAGGCGGCAGAAGAAGAACAACAACCAGAGAGACCGAGCAGCCAGATATCTCAAGACAATGGTAAACGAACCGTACAGAAGACAGAGAGCTCTTATAGCTTGGGAAGCCGAGCATCGTCACGAGCTTCATTTTATCGTTCCAATACAGTTGAATGTGGAGATATTGAAATAGATGATGATGATATGACAGAGACTGAAGTTGATGTGAGTGAAAGAACATCCAAATTCAAGATTTCTACTGATGTACACAAGTCACCTTCAAGGAGGAATAGTTCTGAGCGTCGCAGTAGTGTGGGTGGAAGGTCAAGTTGCGAGAGGACTATCTCACCCAAATCCCTTGAAGATCGTCTCCTTCCTCATGCAGAGGCCAGGGTTGAACCAGAAGATATTGATGAATCTCTACCCGAGAAGTATGAAAAGGAATCCTCTCTGTTTTCTCGTCTTAAAATGTTTTCTCTCTCCTCAGGTGATAGGGATAAAAATGTCAATGGCTCAACTCCTTTTGGGAAAGGGAGCACAAGACATAAACAAGGGGGTCTTCAGGGCGTGCTCAAACGAACTAGAAGTAAATCGGAACCAGTCAAAGATCGACCTCACAGAACGTTTCATATAACTAGGCCTAGAATTAGTTTTGGGATAAATACCCAAAAGCCACAAAGTGAAGAAAATATGTTGAGTGGCCATGAGAAAGAGATTCCGAAAGAAAAATGTAAAGAGTTTGCTTATGATGAAATTCATTCTGCTGGTGAAATCAAAACATCTACCTCCTTTGAGCTTTTAGAACCAAAGAAAAAACAGTGTGTGTTATCAGATGCTCAACCTTCACCAACACTCTCAGAAAAGTGTACAATATCCTCAAACTCAATTCTTAGGAATAAAGGGTTTAGCCTTTCTCTGGATGTGCTTCCCCGAAAAAATGGTCGTTCTCGTAGGTCTGGTGGTACTGAAACAAATACACCTGGGGATACTCCAGGTGGTTCAGAAGATGACCTTCTAGTAGAGACCAAAACACCACAGGTAGATGGAGCTACTAGACACAATCAACCTCATTCAATGCTCAACCAAACCAAAGGCTTCAGACCAACTGATAAGTTGCCTCTTGTTTACCATGATTCCCCAAAGAACTTGAAGAAAAAGCCAGAGTCTGCCAGATCTTTATTATTACTGAAGTCATTCTCATTTAGAAAGAAATCTCCAACTAAAGATGATGGGATAAAGCACAAAGATGGTGACTCCCATAGCCCTACTGTGGAGAAATTATGACATGCGGGAATATGTTCATGCATTTGAACAGTTTTAAGGAATGCACTTGGAGCCACTGTGAACATGTAACCAGAACATATCAAGTTGTGTAATAGCTGAGTGAGTCTTCCACAGTGGAATGTTGTGTAGCATTGGTACCCTATTCTGAAGCTTTAGGTAAAGACAAAAGCAGTTAGGTCAGAAATGATTGGTTTCAGTGGTTTCTACAAGCCTATAGTGCAGATTTTTATTTATACTATTCCCATGGTGGTAGAGGAAACAGAAACAGCTGAAAGCCAATGAGACCTCAGGAACAATGACTGTATTCAGAAAACGCATTCAAGACTCATGAATTCACTATTGGTAGTTGTTAGTTAGTACTTATTGGATGTACCTGTCGAATTTGTCTTCTGAGTACAGTCTGAAGCCTTTCTTGTTCTACAGTATATAAGTAGTTATGCTCCCAGGATTGATCATCCAATTTGTAAACCTTTGGCAAGTGTTCTGGTATCCTATGGGATATAGTTTTACTTTTATACACATTGGATTCTATTTTCCCTACATATCAATTACCTCAAAGAAATAGGCCCCATACTGGTATCCTGGAGATGCCTATGGCTGTGGTGGGCACTTGGGCACCCAGCGGTACAACTTGACTGTCTCACTGGAAGGTCACCCAGAGGTACAACATGACTATCTCACTGGAGGGTCATCCAGAGGTACAACTTGACTGTCTCACTGGAGGGTCATCCAGAGGTACAACTTGACTGTCTCACTGGGGATTGTGTGCCATAACAAGTAGGTATGATAAATGCCATGTAATGTTTGTGCCAAAAGTTTCATAACTACCTATTAAATATCAGTATTTTTCCAAACTTTGGATACCTGTGTGTATATATATATATATATATATATATATATATATATATATATATATATATATATATATACATACTAACAGAGATATAATTAAATCTGAGTAAGATATTTATAAGTCGTTCTTACAAGTCTACGAATTAGAAAATGTATGTTAGAATGTGTAGGATGTTAAACAAGTATGTGTTTTTATTCATACTGAAAACTAAAGATCCATATTTTTATTAAAAGTTTACCGTGTATATGATCCAGATGTAGTCATGTTTTCCAATTTCTTGATATTTTATTTTCTGTACCAAAGATGAATGAAGGCTAACTTTCTTGTCTCATGTTGGAAATGGAAGCCACAGGATTTTAGCGTACAAGTGTTAGATATTTTGCTCTAGCGGAAGACAGAGAGGTGTTGTTTGTGTACCATGATGATGTAGAAGCTACTGAACTTGTGTGTTTTGACCAGTCATGTTACAAAACTACTGTATGTGGATAAGTGGAAAATCCGTCATTAAAGCTACCCTGTTGTTCACTGTTGCCTCATCATTGCTGTGCTAACATGCATCCATTCAATGTGCCTGGAATCTGTGTAAGTCATTCTACTAAGGATATAGGATGAATTTTGTTTCAATTCTGGATTGCATTCAGTGATCAGTACTGTAAAGCAGTAATGGTGTAGGAAAAAGTTGTGCACTGTTTTACCATTTAAGATTGAGAATGTTTCCAGTTTGTGTCAAGAGTGTAATCTGTTACTTGTAGTTGCTGGTGAGACAGACAATAGCTGTGCTGTCACTTTGCTGGTCTCCCCTTATCCTGAAAGAAAGTGATGACTGTCTTTGTTTAAACTCCATCTCTTGTTTTATAATAAAAAGTTGTCAATATGTACAAAGTGTGTTTTATAGAGTTAGACTATTCAAATAAATTGTTTTATAGGTTTGTATGACAAAAAGGAAACCAGTTTCCTTGATGTTTAAATGTTTAGTGACATTATCAGTGTTATGTGAAGAAATTAATGAAAAATATTCCGTAACTGTTTCTGTGTTGGACATTATTAGCATATTAAGTGAATGAGATGAGTGTGTGCTTAGTTAGAGATTTCTAAATGTTATGAAAATGAAGAATAGGTGTTGTGAACAATGCTTGATAGAATACAGGATTCAAGTTACCATGGATCACTGTAGACATGTAGTGTGTGTCCTGTGGTACCCCATCATAAAACACAAAATATACTGAGCCCTTGGAAAATACTTAAGTGCTAACTAAGGCCCATACAAGCTCATTATGATTACTGGTACATTAGTAGTTACATTACCAAGGCTGAGTGCCTTTTATAGAGGTAAACATATTAATTTTTCACTACAGGTATTTGAAAAATTATGGTAATTGTTATTAAGAATTTAATTAACAGAGAAAGTCGTTATTTTATGATGTTAGCTCGAAAATTATGACAGTTTTGTCAATATTAAGTGATGGCTGGTATGGTCTTAGTTAGTGCTGTCTTAGCAAGAAGTTAAGCCTCCATATTCCTTTATGACCAAATGTACCCTTACATAATGTACAGATGTGTAAAAAAATATATAATTTATGTTTTCTTATTCCTTATGTTTTAAACCTGATGGACACAACTTTTACTGATATGAAAGTTGGTTCTATAGGCCTGAGGACCTAACAGTGGCAATGTGCATATATGATATAAAACACCAAGCAGTTCACAAGGAAGCAGTGCGGCAGCACTGCACTCAACTGACTTCATGAACAGTATCTAACTGGATGGACGAGCTGTGGACACATTAGACAGGAGATGAACATAGTATCCATTCAGTCACTCACCCCATGTTACCTAGAAACTTAACAAGGTAAAATCAAACTTTTTAGCCATTATTGTGTTGCAAAAAGTGATGTAGAATCATGTCTCTTACTTTTACTTTTATCCTTTTTGCCACTGATTGGCTCATTAGCCGCTTGAGCAGTTGGTCATGTCTCTGTTACGCACTGTTGGCAAGTATTGGGCATGTACTTACTCCTGAATGTATCTGAACCTGCTCCAGTGTTGGTCAAATCTGGCCTTGAAAAAGCTCTCTCTCGGCGCCGTTACAACACTCTCTGGTAGATTGTTCCTAGAGTTCACAACTCTCACTCTGAAAAAGTTTGCCCTCGCAGTTTACTGGACTTGTGGCTTCTTCAACCTTAGGCTGTGACCCCTTGTGGGGCGAGCGTCCGCCAGCTCCAGGTAAGGGCACTCGACTGAGTAATGCCCTTTGAGATGTTTATACACCTCAATTAGGTGTCCCCCCTGCCCCCTTGCCTGTCTGAAGTATAGGATAGGCAATTGTCGGCACTCTAATCTCTCTGGGTAGCTGAAGTGCAGGCACCAGTCTGGTGGCCCTCCTTTGGACATTTTCAATCAACTGACAGCCCCTTGCATATGTTGGGGACCAGTGGGGTGACAGTACTCCAGACAGGGAAGCTCCTCGCTCTTGAAGATTGTTATGAGGGACGAACCGTTTAGATATCTGAACGACCTTCTTAAAAGACCTAATAGTTTAGTTGCCTGATTTACCTTCTTCTCACAATGGCCTGAGAACTTCAGCTCATTGTCAACACACACCCAGGTTCTTTTCACATTCAGTCTCCATTAATGCAGTTTTTACATCCCGATGGGACATGTGTTACGCCTCCTTACCATTGGTGCTTCCCAGGTGCATCCGCTTCCACTTCGTGACGTTGTATCTTGGCAGCCATTTTTGTGACCATTCTTGAAGCTCACAAAGATCTTTCTGCAGCTCTTCACAGTCTACTTGGTTCTTAATTCCCTAAATAACTTGGCATCATCCGCAAACATTTATATGGAGGAGTGTACAGCTTCTGGCCTGTCATTTATGAAGCAAACAACAGCATGTCCAATACACTGCCCTGTAGTACCCTGTTTGTCATGGATACACCTGACGATTTCGTGCCATTAATCACCACACACTGCTTGCGATCATGGAGAAAGTCTCCGATCCACGCTAAGACACTTTCCCGAATCCCGTACCCTTCCAGTTTAATTTTCAGCCTTTCATGGGGTACATTGTTAAAAGCCTTGGCAAAATCTAGGTTTATTTTGATGATATTGCCACCCTGTTCCAGAAATTGGCCCAAATTGTGTTAAACAGGTGCATCTCGGCATAAAACCGTGTTGTTTTATAGGTTATGTTCCATCATGGCATCTCTTAAAATGCTCTCTAAGTACTTTACATACTATGCTGGTCAGGCTCACCGGTCTATAATTATTCGTGGAGTGATGATCGCCCTTCTTGAAGATAGGACTTGCATAAGCCATTTTCCAATCACGGGACCTTTTGTGCACTCCAGGCATTTACAGAACAGGATCTTCTGGGGCTCAGCAAGCTTGTTGCACAACTCTCTTAGCACTGGGATGCATCATGTCAGGACCGGGACTCTTATGAACCTTTGGCTTTGATAATTTATTTCTTATGACCTCATCTGAGAACACAATGTGGAGTCAGTTCTGTGTCAAACCGTCTGTCCTCAAACGCAGGAAGAGTGTACACCTCCACTCTTGTGAACACCGAGGAAAAGAAGCTGTTCAACGCCTCTGCCTAGTCCTGGTCAGAATCTGCGTAACTACCATCTTCAAGCCTCAGGTGATACTCCTCGCATTTTTAATTTTGGCTTTGCGTAGCGGTAAAATGCCTATGGGTTTGACTTGACTTCGCTTGCAATCTGCCTCTGAAACTTCTTTTCAGCCCTCAAGAAAATATGAAAAGAACATTAAGGCGGGGTAGAATGTGTTCAGCAAAACTTCTCCATAGTCCTGAATAAGTGTATCCTTCCACAATATTATCCAGACACATAGTAGAAACTAAACTACAGTAGGATCTTAGAGTAAGCAGGGGTTATGTATTCTGGGATCCCTGTATAAATGCGAATTCAGGTATACAAGTATTCGAGTCCCTCTGTAAATATGTTACAAGGAATTTGTGTACTCTGTGACTTCATGAAATCCCTATAACTTTTAGTAAGTTATATGTAATTACCTTACTTAACCTAACAGTAATTACATATAACTTTTTAAAAGTTTTAGGGATTTCATGAAATCACCGATTACACAAATTACCTGTAACATATATACGTATATTTACGCAAGTTTCTATTTTTCTAACGACACGTTACTATTTTTTCTAAAGGACTGATAGTTGCTGCAATGAGTACTGTGAGCACTAAAATATTTGGTAAAACTGAATTATTTCTTCAAGAGATTATAGTCTACAACAATATCTGATCATTCTTATTCTTGAGACTTTATATTTATAACGTATATATTTCAACACAAACCATAGCCGTAGCATACCTGTTGCCTGTGATCAACAGGAACCAGTATAGAGGACCAGCAGCCTCATAATTTGTCTCAGTTAATAATTACGAATAAATATTATGAGTGATATCAAGCTCTATGGGAATGCTCCCTATTACTTCTCTTTACCTCACAAATAAATAAAATATTTCTTTCTTACATTAAACTTAACATTTCGAAGTTGGAGAAGAAATTATTCAATTTTTAATTATTTTTTTATGCAGAAGCAATATTATAATTTTTTTTCCATGAAATGGCAGTGTGGTGTCTCAAGCTATGATTGTCAACTTTTGGCTGTTATTTACTTAAGATTATATAGGTGGTGTTGTTTGTAGTGGATTCCTCCCCTACCACCACCGTGTTGCTGACCAGCCTACCCCCGTGTTGCTGACCAGCCTACCCCCGTGTTGCTGACCAGCCTACCCCCGTGAATTCCCCAGCAAGGTCGGTAACCAGCGCTTCCAAACAAAGCGGAGGTCAACCATCAAGCCACGCCTACCTCCGCTATATAAGACCTCACCTCGTGGTGACCTCCTTCTTTCTACCTACAGCCACCAGCAAGCAACGCCTCCTCCTCCGCTCCTGCCTGGTGGCCCTCGCTCCCGCCGGCGACTATGCCGCCCTACAAGCTCCTCTGAGCACCCTCACCAACCAGCTCCCTCTACATCACGCTTGGACTCACGCTGCCACCCCCCCAGCACCAAGCTGCATTGTACATCCAATACAATATGTATACAGAGAGCACATTGTGAGTTTCCTTTCTCCATCCCATCCTGAGTGTGAACCAATATCTCATAACCCCATAGTGTCTTGGCCTGAGCCCTCAGTGTTACAATGTGTAATGTGAAGCATTGTTCTTGAAGTTAATGAGCAACATCTTCTTGATATGGGCTCTGACGACTTGACTGGGGCAGGAAATTTTCTCAGATCAAGGACACAGAAATAATGAAAGCGGTTAAAGTGCTTCATGCGTTAAGCTAGCCTCTAGTGATGTGAAAACTGAAAGTTAAGGCGGTATTTCTGAACCAACATTGACTATAGTTAATCAAATGTTCATATAGCGTGCCTAAATTTTTTAGCGTGAGACCCTCACTGCTACAGCTCTACCTCTTCGCATATTTCAAGAGGCCCTCAACCATAACTTTGTCTCAGCTCACATTAGGCCTGGCAAGGCCACAGCCAATACGGTGTCACTTCCTATCCAGGACGTGCTGCAGAGAGTCACTCTTTTTTGCTTACACTGCACCAGATAATTTGCAAGTAATTCTGATGCCATACCTTTATTTTGGTAGTGTTAAATATAATTATCGTGTCCGCTAAAGTTGTAATTTACCGCGTGTCTTCTACTAAATTTGCCACCCACTGGGCACAATTAATAAAAAATAAGATATTTAGTACAATGCAGCTTATGATAATTTTATATCATTCGTTATAAACACCCATCCATTTCTGAGTAATTTATCCGACTTCATTTAATGGGGAATAACGATAACTCTATTAACAATAATAATAATAACAACAAAAACAACTACCACCAACAACAACAACAACAACAATCATAGGGGTACGAGCCAGGGGGTCTGGGCAAGTGAAATATTTGTATGGGGGGCACAGCAAAAATTTTTGGGGCAAGCCTAAAGAAAAAATATGGTTCCAATTCGCCCCACTTCACATAAAACGTTAATTTCGTTAATTTGCGGCTATTCATATCAGCGCTAATTAATATATGTTCCCCGGCTGTTCACCAGTGAATCTTTTCCATTAAAAAAAATCGCGGGTTACCCTACTGGTTTTCTTTCACGAAATTCAGTTATCTGTTCATGATATTCGTGATAATTATGTCTAAAGGGGCTGTAGCCAGTAGCTTCAGTATTTGCCAGAGCATAATATAATATAGCTATGTGGCAATAGCTTACGTATAATAGGCTGAAAGTTTTTGGTCAGAGTCCATGTTTTGGGGCAAAGACAAAAAGTCTATGAAAATAATTATAATTTAATTTCAGGTAATTAAATATAATGAAAATAATTATAATTGAATTTCAGGTTATTAAATATAATAGTTGCATTGCTCTTGCAAAAGATGATGCAACGTTCAGCTCATAAATTTAACATCACGTTCCTCTAGTAATTTATAATTGTATTTTGTACTTGACTTCCAGTAGTATACCCTCTTCACCACTGATCCCGCTCATTAGTCGCTTGGGCGATGAATGCTGTAAGCTCTAAACTCATTTACGAGCTTAAAAACCTTAGTTAATGAAGCGTAAAAATACAATGTAACAACATATAGTTATCGGTAGATAATCCAAGATGATGCAATGGAAGGAACTACACATAATAGGGGAGGGTGTCAAGAGGTTGCGTCACCATCACCAGGGAAAGGAGAGTGAAGGTTAGAGGGGTAGACAGACCATTGTGATCCCGTTCTTGTCCTTACTGGTAATTTATACAGTGCATAAGCACTATTCGGAGGGTTCATCGTGAGTGTCCATCGTGTAGCCTCGTTATGTCATCAGGTTACATCAGTACAATATATAAAGTATGTCTGTGAATACATAAATAAAAAACAAGGCAAGGACAAGTATTAACAAGCAAACTCAACCTTAAAAACACTTTTTTCATTCGTTCATTACAACAATTACAAAACAAAGTTTTTATTGATATTCGTAATATGCACCCATGTTTTACAGCTCCACATGTCAACCCAAGGTCATCAACCCATTTATTTCATATACCGTAATTGTACTGTATTTCAGTTTACACCGGAAGTAATAAAAATAAATAAATAAATATATATATATATATATATATATATATATATATATATATATATATATATATATATATATATATATATATTATATATGTGTGTGTGTGTGTGTGTGTATAAAGAGTGACTAAAATAGCTCTAAATATAATAAAGAATATATAACAAATACAATGGTAAGAAAGACTAACAAAGAGAAAACCCGTTTCGTAACTTCAGCCGCTGAGTAAACAAAACTATTTTTCCTATGTTTAGTGTCACTGGTTGGTGACTGGGAATTTTTTTCATCATGAAAGTGTACATTGATATGTTACTATTATTTTTAAATAATTTTACAGGAAAAATGTGAGATGAAAAATAAAATAAAATATACGTAACTAACGTCAAGGTATATGCTGTACGATAACCTTTCCGCATCTTGGAAACAGCTGGTTGTTAAACAGCTGATCGGAGACACTCGCCGCAACACGCTCAGTACGCATGTGCGGCTCTCAAAGGCGGCTGGTGACAGACTGTACATGCCGAGCGTGAGTGAAGATCAAGAGACACAACTATGGACCAGACACGAAAACCACGACCGCCGAATCCTCGAGATGCGGCGGGACTCCTCAGCAAGATGGTGTTCTGGTAAGTGAAATTAAAGGACATTTCAGAAACTCCCGAGGTTAATCGATCATGTTCGAGTAAGAGCCATGATGTCCCAGGTCAGGTTGAACGTGGGTGGGTCTGATGCATAACTGAACTAACAGTTATTGCCAGAAATTTGTCTTGTGCTTGAGGTCTTATGTTACTGCATTGTTACATATTGACATGGAACTACCATCAGACACATTACAGAATCCTTGTCATGTTGGTGTTCGTGGTGTTGTTTGCTGTTAAGTGTAAGCTTTCTATACAGCTTTTTGTATGTTGACTTGAGGCTTTCCCTGGGTAATAGTACATTGTATGATTAATTTTGATGACTATTGAATAACGGTAACTCAGTTTGCCCAAAGACGGCAGCCTGTTAATTTGTATTTTGGCGAGTTATGGAGCCGAATGCTGTAATCGTGTTATAAGTGGGCGAACTTCTGTAATGGTCAAGGTAAAACTGAAGTTAGTTGTTACGGATTAACATAAAACGCGATGATTATCGAGTGTTTTTGTAGAAGGTATGTGGTCTGTTGTGATAGACTTTTCCCTCATTAATATTTGTGGACAACATATTTAACTGCTTCTAGGTTTTGGCTTATTGTTACAAGCGATCATATAATCCTGAGAGAGTACGAGGTAAGTGAGCTATAATGATGAAACACAAGGCAGTGAATCTTAAATAATCTAATAAGTAATTAGGCTTGGCTGGTTCTTCGGATACCCCCCCATAAATAATTTACCCCGGAAGCTGAGGATTCTAAGATTCGCATAACATTACAGCAAAGGTTGGCTACTGGAATCCGTTTTGTAAATATCCTGTTGTGTAAAGATGAAACATTTTTATGTCTCTTTGAACTAATGGGAATGTCAGACTGATGAAGGTTGAGGAAATATTATTTTCGATGTTATAGAGAGTGCTGTAGCTGTTATAGTTGTCGTTTGCAGGTCATGACTGTTGAAGAATGTCATGGCATCCTTTTTTTTAGTGTTTAAGGAGGTGTGGGCTCTGAACAGTTTATTTAGGCTGCTGTAGGCGCTGAAGCTGGTGTCTTCGAGCGAGATTAAAGGTGTTTTCGATGCACGGATTAGCTAACGTTAGCAATTTTGTATGCCCAGACGCTGCTTTTGAATTGTGCGCATGACACATTCAGAGGGAAAAGCTGACACCTCGATCAGGCGTTAGCCTTGTGCAGCGGTCCAATTAGCTAACAACCAATCGGCGATTTCTCCCACTGAAAATACGCGGATTATGGCCACTTATGGAGAATATCTTGATTATATTGAAGAGTTGGGGGGCATGTAAGGCAATAAAAATCTGTGATGTAATCATAAAAATAATTCTATACACGGTAGTATATCGGATAGGATCTAAAACAAAGCGTATGGCGTGAAATTTTTCAAAAGAATTGCACCTAGTTGAAACTAGTTTTGGCTTCTCGCCGTCTGGTTTCATTAGCCATTGGTGACTAGTGTAACGATATTAATAATTACTCAAATATGATTAAAACTTTAATATCGTTCTCACAAGATACTTTAAATAAGAATGAATATTTTTTTACAGTTCTGCAAGTGCAAAAATTAAGACCGCGAACCGAAATTCGTCGTATTGCATGCGTGTAAATTATATGCGAACACCTGTAAGCCGCGAGATGAGAGAACTTAGTGGAGCCTTTCCTGTATAAAAAATGAATCCAGCCATGGTTATTATTGACTTTTTTACCTTTGTCTTGCTTTCCATAATTTTCTATATTTTCTAAACTATTTCTTTCCGTATTGTGTCCAAATAACAGTTCTAATTTTATTGTTTTCTGAAGACTGTTGTACAACAGTTATTTCCAAGACGCGATACAAATGTCGTATTTTTTAATGACAGTTCCCGGGAAAGCTAACGAGTTAGCCATTCCGTGCATCTTAAAACGCCCCAAGTTTATGGTATGGCTGCCACAGGAAACCACTGTACAATAATTATTTTATTTCGGGAACGCATCGAAAATATTAATAAAATGTAGAAATAACGTTCCCCGATTTTTACTTTTGTTTATTTAATAACTTGTTTTATAAACTAGTTATTAGTTGCAGTTTTAGATGCTGGCAAGCGAAGATCAATGTCAGCCTCGTGACAGGGCGGAGAAAGTGTCGGTAGACAGGAGCTCTTGGCCTGCGGGATGTAGGTTATTTCTGTATACTCTGACTGTGATGAGGTAATAACAGTACATTATCGCTGTGGAGAGTCAGCGGCTACACCACCTCCCAACCTGAGGTATTGTTCATTTTAATTGTTGGTGGCTAGTGTATGTACTGCCCCAAAATACCTAGGTTAATGAATCGCAGTAATGCATTTTAACATAAACACCATCTCACCCACCCATTTCCTTCTGCACAGAATTCCACTACATTTTTTATATCTTATCTATTTAGTGTTGTGAGGTAGGGTTTCATCACACATCCGGAGGCAACACTGACATTCATGGCGTAAATCACTGGGCTAACGTGACGCTCTAGCCTTCATGGATTCCTCGTAAGTGACAATGTAGAATGAAACCAACTCTGACTTGACATGAAAACCCCGAATATAACCGGAACTAGCATCCGTATAAACAAGTGTTAGAATATGCTTTTTCCTCTTTGCCACTGATCGGCTTGTTAAGGTGCTTGGGCGGTCGGTTACGTCTGGGCATGTACTGGCGCCAGTATATATCTGTACCTGCGCCATTGTTGGTATAGTTTGGTGAACCGTGAATGAGTTCACTCGGTGTCGTCACAACGTTCTGTGGCAGATTGTTCCAAGAGTTCACAACCCTCACTCCGAAATAGATAATCTGTTCTATGGTTTCCTATCAGGAGTGGAGTTTTAATCCAATTGTTATGCTAATTTTGGACGTTTTGTCTTCAATCAAAGTTAGGTGCATTCTACATTTTCATTCACGAGTCGTACGAACCTTCGTGAAACGGCTCCTGGACAACTCTCGTTCTCAGGAGCAACTTGAAATAATAAATGAAAAATTATCAACTCAGGATTTTAAAGTGGAGAGGGCTTGGAAGATCAGGACAGATCAGTTATATGGTGGCATGAGGTTGCGCATGCCGCGAAGCCGCATCAGTGATGGCAGCGCCATATGTTGCCATGGTTACACCCTCTAACATGTTCACGTTGTCATCGAAAACTGTTTTAGTTGACAGTACGGTGTCAAAATGGTAGGTTTTTTTTTTTTACATATATTTATAGGATTATTTGTTATTTTTATTTGTAATTTGTGTTTATTTGGATTGAGACGAGATTATAAGGGTCGGGGAAATACTGTATCGTACGGCCGACAACGCCTCGCCTTGGGCTGGCACCCTGCGTGGTATTAAATTTGGCGCCAGTTTGTAGCACCAAAATAGACCATCTTAATTGATAAATGTTTTTCATTCATTAGCTATTTGCTGCCCAAAAATTATTGAAGTTATTCTTTTCCCAGTGGGCACTGATGTAGTTTATGATCTTGGGAGGGGCTGACATTATTATAAAGGGAAAATAGATTGGGAGAAGATCGCCGTTTGATGTAATGTTGCGCAATGATTGGGGTGGTGCCAACGTGTAAGACCTTGTTTCAGTAACGCCTTTTTCATTTATTTCAGCCATAGTGTTTAATAAAGTATGACGTGAAATTATTTTGCAACGAAGAACTTTTCCGTAGATAGAGCATGCAACCACTCGTTTTGAGATAATTACCTGCATATTTCTTTTTTATTGACGGTTTTAGTATGTATTTATATTTATTTTTTTCATTCTACAGTTGACTATTGGGCTTAGTTGTTTTGGTGTTATTATAATGGATATTCGGGCGTTTTTTATTTTTATTTATTTTTGTTATTTATTGTCGGGACACCACACGCGCCAGCTGTTTTTGGCGAGTAATGCTGACGCTCTGCTGGTGCTCTGCTGGTTGGCGTTCTCCGCTTATTGTAATTTCAGGCACAGGAAAACATAAATATCCTCATCTATATAATTTTAATAACACTATGGATCTTATTTATGATTGTAATCTTATATCAGCGTACGATTTTCGTTCATTTGTTTGAACTGAGAAGAGTATTTTTAGTGTCGGTTAATCTTAAGTGATACGAGCACCCAGAGCTGTGAGGCTGTCAATGGTTCAGTGTGTCCACCACCCTGATAACCCGTTTCACTGAAATTGTTTTTAAGCAAGCAAAATCTATATGTATTTTTATGGGTTATAGAAATGTTAACAAACACGCTCGACAATATTGCCTAGTTAGGTTTTATACGAGTATTTGTTAAAGGGTGAGTGTGGAGCCGAGCATCAGTTGTTGCTGGACAGAGTTGGCACAGTCATGTACTGTATAGTATGGTCTGTTCAAGGTATGTCTGTTGTATAGTGTCCTTGAGAAGAAAAAATGACCAGACAAACATGCCAAATTGTGCACTAAACAATAATCAGAAATAAAACTGCGGGGCTAGTCACAAGGGCATAATATGCTGTAGGTGCTCTTACTGTATATGGGTTTGTGCATTTTAGTTGTACAGTTATATATTCATATTTTTTAATGTTAATGGCTAGTGTGATTACTATAGTAATATATGAGTCTCACTTGTGTACGGGGGTCGCTGCTGAATAAAATGTCTGGTGTTAACTAAATAAAATATTAAGTGGCGTCCAGTAGTGAAGGGGCGTTGGGGAGTAGTTTATTAATAACTTTAGTTGTGAAGCTCAGTAATGCATAAGTAGTAATGATAAGTAGGAACCTTAAGCCAAGTAAACAATGTGTTTTTGCTCGTAACAAGGCTAATAAAGTACTTGGGTTCATACAAAGGAGTGTTAGTTACAAGACTAGCGAGGTCGTCCTAAAACTGTATCTTGCTCTTGTGAGACCACACCTGGATTACGCAGTTCAGTTCTGGTCACCGTATTACAGAATGGATATAGAATCCTTGGAAAGAATTCAGAGGAGAATGACAAGACTAATCCCGGGCATTAGGAACCTTGAGT